AAAAAATTTAAAAGTCAAATACATTTACATATGTAGATAATAGTTATTTACAGTAGATAATTAAAAAGATTATAAAGTTATTTAGTTAAGTTTTAAATTTCAACGAGAGTTGAAAGGTCGACTTTTCTTATGTTCTTCTTGAACGAATTTAGAGTTTCTATCGTTCTTAGGTGTCTTGGTAACTTCGACCAGATGAGAGGTCCCATATATTTAATAGAATTCCTACCAAATCTTACAGTTTCGAATCTTGGCAGTTCGAAGTCACTGTTCCGTAAATTATACGGAGTGTTCATTATATCAAATAAGTCAGAAATTCCCCCACAATATTTTATTTAAACCTATTAGTATATTAGATCTTTATTTACAAATGCCAAGCGATTCTAAAAATTGTTTATGTTTTTTTCTGATAGACAAATTTTCTGAGGTTGTGCAAGTTATGAAATCGTTCGGTTGTTGACCCCGATAAAATTAGACATTCGAAGACTACATGTGGCTACTGGTAAAACACAATTTTTGTAGCATTGAAAGGAGCTAGGGCTTGTATAGTAACGGCAGAAGGTAGAGTTGCAGAATATTTGTCTCACATACAAAACATAAAACCTGCCGCATCCCACATATCTTAGCCTGCAGAGCAGGCGTAATTTTGGCAACCGAGTTTTCTTGGCGAAAACTGTGGCTGTCCTCTTGACGGGTAAACCTTCGAGTACAGTTGTTTGTTTTCTTCAAATTATCGTTTACGATTAATCCATTTTGACGATGTTTCTCCTATTTCATAGCTTCTGATCAGACTGCCGGGGCGTGGTCTCAAGTTGAGAAAATTTGTCCGTCCATTAAAAAACCCATAAACAATTTTTGGAAGATCCTTTCAATGGAATTCAGCGAAAATTTCGGAGCAATTACAGAATACAGGGCCATTGAGGTCCACCTTGTCGGCATGCTTTGAAGAACGAGGCAGAAAACAAAAGGATGCATTGTGATTCAGTGGTATGTAAGCAAGTGGCCCTGTATTCTGTCACGCAACAAGCTTTCTCTCCTCCTTGGAAGAGAGAGAGAGAGAGAGGGAGCGCGTTGCGTGACGAGACCAGACAACGAAGAAGACCACCGTCACCCTTCAATATAAGGAACATCTCCTTTTTATTCATCAGCTCTCCGAAGCAAGTAAACTCACACTAATCTATCAAGGAGGACCAATGAAAGCAGACGAAGCCGAGAAGTTTGAGGAGCTGAAACATTTTGAGGCCTTAATCAAGATGAGAAAATGGGACGATCTTGGAAAAGTGAAAGGCGCACCAATTGACTCACTTGATAAATATGAGAGCATGTGTAAAAAGTTCTTGGAAACACTTTGTTTTAAATAACGGGAGATTATTTATTGCTTACTTTAGAAAAGAGGCTGACCATTTTCCGTAAATGTTATCTTACGTTATCTTTTTATACGTGACAACAAAATAGATAAAATAAGGACTAATTGTTTCTTCGGTTTTTTCATGACAACGATTCTAATAAGTTTTTCGCTCGTTTGTTATTGTTTTGTCATTTAAGAATTCTACGTCTTTGGCCATTTTATCATATAAGGGGCAAAATTACTGAATTGTGATTGGTCAAGACAGAGGGCATTTTTTCTTAATTTTTGTAATTGCCCCGGGCAAAATTACTTGAAAATGATTGGCTGAAAATCGCTTAGCAACGGCTGCCAAGGTAAAGAAATTTCTGTTTGTTTTGTAACAATGGTGTCCCGTTTTGCGCGAGATCAGTAAGAAAACATTTTGCCCCTTATATTATAAACAAGTAATCACATGGTTCCTCGTAAAATTAAGGATCAATATCACTTGTGTGTTTGGAAGTTGCAGAAATTGCCCGAGTGGCGCAGCGACGAGGGCAATTTCAGCAATTTCCGAAAACACGCGTGATATTAATCCTTAATTTTACTCGGCCCCATGCGATTACCTCTACAAATTCAATGCCTCTCAATATAATACTCCAATTCCAGGAAACAGAATTTTCAAGTGAAAATTGTTGTAAAGGAAAATTCGTTTTGGTTTCTACTTTCATTTTACTCTTTACACCCTATCCATCATCATCAGGCACATTCTCTAGACTATTCTCCGCGCGTTTCCTACGGTACTTACACGGAGAATTAGTTTAACAATCAAGCGCTATCGTACTTAATGATCTTTTCCTTTATTCTCCTGACCTTATTGAGTCATTGAAATGTTGTATTGTAAGGAGAAATAAGATACTAGTCACTCAAAGGGTTTATTCAAAAACTGATTCCTTTGGACTTTGTGATACGTCGGCAGCTTTTAGTATTTTACTGGCAATAAAAAATTACATGAAGAATAGTGCGCACGTATTTTGCGTAGTGTTTCGTTCTGTTGCGCGACGCTGTTGAATTGGTAATCAAATTATCTATAAAAGTCAAGCAGCGTGTTCGAAAACTAAGATGTAGAAAGAGCTTTTAGGTTCTTAAAAGAATATTAAAGGAATCAGTGGGTCCATTAAATGTCGTTCAAAAGTTGCAAATTTTTTATCGAACGGATTTAGAAAAAATATCTCTAAAAGCAATAATTAACAATTATTCGCCTCAGGTTCGGTGAATATTGTCGAATAATCCCCTCGACTTCGTCTCGGGGTTTTTAGTATAATTTCAGAGCTGAACAACAGAGAAATTTCTAAAATCATAACATTTTAGTAACATTTATTAACTTTTTATTTTAACATTTTATATAAACCGCGTGGAGCGGTTTATATAGCGTCATATAAGGAACCGCTCGACCAATCTGATTGCTGGAAACTCTTTGCTCAGCTCTGAAATTATACTAATAATTATTGTCATATATTATGATAGCGTTATTAAATAAATCATACGTGACTGCGTTTTATGTCAAGTAAATGTTACGAAATGTGTTAAAAAACACACATTTGAAGTGCAGAATATCTTAGATAGCAAAGATATTATACAACATGAACGTTTATGAAAATAATTTCTCAACAAAACGCATCTACATGAATGAACAAAGGCGAACGTTGGATGCCTCAACGATCATCAAATCGTTCTGCGATTGCAAATGAGGGTGTGAACCGCGTGACATGGTCTCGTGACATGACAAAATGGCTCTCAACTGTACACGGTGGGGCATTATGGGCGCTAGCCTAATCGCTCACGATTTCATGGTGGCATTGAAAACATTACCAGAAAACGAACACACAGTAGTTGCAGTATCCTCTCGTTCCCTAGACAGAGCAACCGAATTTGCAGAGAGACATAAAATCGCCAAGGCATACGGTTCATACGAGGAACTCGCTAAAGACGAAGATGTCGAGGTTGTTTATGTTACTACTATCCATCCGCAGCATGCATCGCTTTGTAAACTGGCACTAAGTCACGGAAAACATGTCCTTTGCGAAAAACCCTTTACTCTGAATCTGAAAGACACCAAGGAATTGTTTGATCTGGCAAAGATTAAAGGACTGTTTATTATGGAGGTGAGTCACAGGTGGGTGTGGGTGGGGGGGGGGGAGGTTTTTTTCCTCCGACGCTCATCGGAAGTTTTGCAATAATAATATCCTTCGGGTAAAACTATTTCCAGCTAAAAGTATGAGTCAGTTTCGCTGCTGATCATCCCGCATGAGGGTTTTATACTTTTTAAATTTTTTTTTCTACAAATGATGATTTTAATTTCTACGCGGATTCTAGTGAATTAATAAGATCTATTAATCGCGGTTTAAGGAGTAGCTTGGAGATGAAGGAAATAACCTGTGATGCTTGTTTAATTTTTCTAGGCGCTATGGACAAGATTTTTTCCACTTTATGCGGAAGTAAAAAACCTAGTAGACTCAAATGTTCTTGGAGAGATTCGAGTTGTTATGGTTTCATTCGGAGTAAACTTAGACCATGTAGAACGCTTGCAAGACCCTGCTCTGGGTGGAGGTGCCCTGTTGGACCTTGGAATATATTGTTTGACTATTGTTGATATGATATTTGGTGGTCAAGAACCTGTAAGAATATCTGCTGCAGGTCAGAAAACACCTGCTGGTGTGGACTCCACAGTAACAATTACAATGCTTTATACAGAAAACAGAACAGCTTCAGTAACCATAAGCATGGGTAAGTGCTAATAAGCTGAAAACTTCAACCATAAAACCTCAGATGAAAAGGATCAGGCATGTCTGGGGCTATCTTTTTCCTTGGTAATTGTAGAAAAAATGCTAGATAGAGTATGTATTGAAGTTAAATAAAAAGGTAGAACGTTGGCACAAAATCCATGCCCTATATGTTCCCCTTTTCCAATTTAAACCCTAACATCAGTATGCATATTCTCCGGACTGATCTCTAAACATTTCCCAAGGAACTGACAAAGAGAATTTGTTTAAGAATCAAGATGATGATCTTTTCCTTTATTCTTGTGTCCTAAATATTTAATTGAGAGGTTATATTGTGAGGCGAAGTTTCGATGCAAGACACTCTTGGTGGTGAAAAAGTTAAAGACAGTAAAAGTTGTGAATTTATCATGTGGTATATTTGGATAGTATAATAGAAGTCAATGGATAACAGATGACTGACATTCTGCTGATGGTGAAAAAAATTTTCATATGATTTTCAGCTGCTCAACTCCCAAATGAAGCTGTATTTGCAGGATCAAAGGGATCACTCACAATTCATGCACCATTCCATTGTGCAACAAAATTCACCTCACCTGCAGGAACAAAGGAATACCCTCTTCCAAAGCCCAGCATGCCCTTAAAATTTGTGAATTCTACAGGAATGAGGTGAGCCAGCTGAGTGAACCCAGGCGCTGTGGCCTCCCAGTTAGCTCAATTGATTAGAGCGCCGGACTGTTGTGCGGCAGGCCGAGGGTTTGAGCCCCAGCCGGACCAACACTCAGGGTCTTAAAAGAACTGAGGAGAATGTGCTACCTTTCTATAATATTAAGAAATGGAGAGACATTCTAGTCTTCTCAGATAAGGATGAATAAACCGTAGGTCCCGTCTCCTGCGTCTATTTATTAGTTAATTTGGCTAGGCAGGAGACATTAAAGAACCCACTCATGAGATTACTGTGATGTGGTCTGGCCTGTTTTCTAGGAATTGTGGGGAGGGGGCATCTGTTAGATTCACCTTTATTGATTGTAAACTGCTATTAGCAATCTGGTAAAGTCCCCCACATAGTGTTGTAACACAACTCGTAATTCCTCATTGATTGCTCCAAGTAGTTGTTCTGTTATGACTATGACTATCTCTATCTGAGGTTCACCCTAAAGAGTTTCTCAAGGTCACATTTTGAGCACCAGCCTTGAACTCTTAATCTGACCGAGGGCTAATGCTCAAAGCATCAGCTTTTGCAACTCTTTAAGATTGCCAATTTCCATTCATTTCTTAACTCAGTTGAGGAAACCAAATCATAAACTCTCAGATCTGCAGAATTAAAGGGTTTCCAAGAGAACTGCTAAGGGACTTGACACTTGTGTGAATACAGACACAAGGCATATAATCACCTTGCTGATGGGAATGTAGTTTTAAAAAATCTAAAAGATAACATAGATTTCTGCTAGTTGGAACTGTATTTTATTTTGTGTAAATAGTACAATAGTGTACTTAGAACAAAGGGAAAACATATTGAGCTGGTAAAAATTAATTTTGACCTGAAATTCTTTATAAACCAAAACAAAGATATAATAGTCAGATTTGTCAATTAACACTAACAGCATACCTAGAGTACATTTGCCATGTTTTTCCGTTCTCTCTTTGTGCTTCTAGATATGAAATTGAAGCTGTCAGAAAAAGTTTACTGTCATCTGAAACACAGAACTCTACCATGCCTTGGAGTACAACTGAAAGAATTTTTGGTTGGATGGATGAGATTCGCCAACAGATTGGGGTTGTTTACAAAGAAGACATTCATAAGGACCTTTAGGATTGAGAGAGTACTCCATTTCAATCCACTCCCCTTCCCTGGCTGAAAACAGTGATTAGATACCAGGGCCATAGCTAGCATGAGGCAAGACGAGGCAATTGCCTCGTCTTAATTTTGGCCTTTTTAATTTTTTTCTTAAAGATTGACTTTTCTAAAGAAAAATGCCATGGAAAATCCTTAAAAGAGCATTTCTAAACCTCTAGATTTCAAAGTTTTCTGGGGGGCATGCCTCCAGACCCCTCTAGCGGCTCCCGCCTTTGGCGCTTGAAACTTGCCTCATCTTGCCCTGAAATCTAGCTACAGCCCTGGATACTAAAAGGAATGGCTATTGCTATCAAGGCAAATTAAAAACAACAAAAAAACAAATCCCATTCAACTTGGACACTTGATGTTTTTTCTTTTTTGTATAAGTATGTTAATCAGTAGTTTCACTAGCAACCTTTGTGGCTTCCTTTGGTGTTGATGTATGGAATCCCATGAAAGTGGTTCCCACTCCACTGATGAGCAATCTCGTGATCAGTGGGTAAAAAAGAAAAAAAGTGTATGCAAGGGTGGGAATGTGTATATAAAATGAACATGAAAGTTAGTGTTAAAATTGAGGAAGCTACTTCTGAAACAGCATGCTCCTAAACTCAATTAAAAAATGTAAAAAAATATATAATTAAAAAAATAAGAAATAAAATTAAGTTAAACTTGGACTCTTGATGTTTCTCAAACACTGATGCTTTATTCAAATGAGTTTCTCTTCTTGTACTAACAATCAATATTTGTGTCTTCTCTTGATAATTATACTATTATCAACAATCAAAGAAACACTGACGAGAAATTTTCTCTTACATCAGACGTATTACTAAATCTGGATGAGATTTGCTAACTGATTCAGGGGCTGTTTACAATAAAGACAATCAGAAGAACCTTCAGGGTCAATTTGTAAACAAGGGTCCTTCATACCAACCCACTCCCCTAGTCAAAAACAGTGGTACTAAAACAAATGACTATTGCTATCCAAGCGAAAAAAAAAAAAAAAATGGACTCTATTCAATTTGGACACATATTTCTCAAAAGCAGATGCTTTATTCAAATGAGTTTTCTTTTTATACTGACATTCAGTATTCATATCTTCTCTTGATAATAATACTTATGATGCATGATCCTCGCAGTAGATAGCGCTATTTAAGCAATAGCGAAAATCAGACCGGAAAAAAATCAGGCCTGTACGGGATTCGAACCACTGACCTCTGCGATACTAGTGCAGCGCTCTACCAATTGAGCTAACAAGCCAACTGGGAGCAGGCCGTTAAGTTGATTCGTAATAAACCCGTGAAAGTGATAAATCGNACTTAACGGCCTGCTCCCAGTTGGCTTGTTAGCTCAATTGGTAGAGCGCTGCACTAGTATCGCAGAGGTCAGTGGTTCGAATCCCGTACAGGCCTGATTTTTTTCAGGTCTGATTTTCGCTATTGCATAAATAGCGCTCTCTACTGCGAGGATCGTGCATCATACGTATCTAATACCGCAGTTCAAAATATATGAACTTCATATATTCATTGTATCTGATTTATCATCACGGGTTTATTACGAATCAACTTAACGGCCTGCTCCCAGTTGGCTTGTTAGCTCAATTGGTAGAGCGCTGCACTAGTATCGCAGAGGTCAGTGGTTCGAATCCCGTACAGGCCTGATTTTTTTCAGGTCTGATTTTCGCTATTGCTTAAATAGCGCTATCTACTGCGAGGATCGTGCATCATATGTATCTAATACCGCAGTACAAAATATATGAACTTCATATATTTCATTGTATCTCGATAATAATACTATAAAAATTATTATCAACAATCAAAGAACTACTGACAACAAATTTACACACACATCAGACCTGTAACTAAATCACTAGAGGTTGACTTTGAGAAACATGCTGCAGGGCAAAGTTTTCTTGCAGTGACAAAGATTTTCACATGAAAAATTCTCTACCTCAAATGAACCAAACTGTGCCTACAATTTGTCCATTAATGTTGGCATTTCAATCAGAAATATTTTAAAGGAAGGGTTACATATTTAACTAAACAAAACTTTGTAAGACCAATAATTTAAGTGGCAAAAGCTTGTGTTTAGACTTTTGTCACAAACTGTAGATCAACTTCTTATCATCAACTATACAAAATAGTTGATATCTAACTCGAAGTTAATAATATAGGACTGACAGTGTTTCTCCACATGACTAGGCGTGAAAATTTGTTTATCTAAAAAAAACTGTCAGCTTTTTTGTTTTTCATCACTTAAAATAACTTTAAATATTACATAACAATCAATATGTACTATGGTTGAAAAGAAGAGCTCCCTCTATAAAACAAATATACACATCAACATAATGCAAACATCTGGCTCCGGTTGTTCAAAGGGCGGATAACGCTATCCAGCAGATAAATCGCTATCCAGCGGATAAGTGTTACCAAAACGTACTGCGCTCTCCACCGGATAGAGATTTATCCAGTGTATAGCGTTATCCATCCTTTGAACAACCGGGGCCTGGTAAATTACTATGCATATTAACAGTAGACATGCCACCTGGCACTAGCAGTTGTTTCTATATACAATTAACTACCTAGGGCATATTCATAAAATCATGATATGGCTCTCTCAAAATACTACAAAATAAAATTTTAATGATAAATCAGATATTGCCATGGCATAAAATGGATACAAATTTTATTCTGAAAATGTTAATTATAGTGGGGTTGAGCATGACATTTAGATTGAATAACAATAGTAAAAACTGAACTCCTTTTTATCTCTGCAAAGTCAGTACTTGCTTTACTGAAAGAAAGGTTTTTCACTGAAAGACAGGTTTTTTGCCGCTGTTTTCTTTGACATTAATCTAACCCTTTAGCTCCCAGAAGTGATTGACATGTAACTTCTCCCTCTAATATCCATACATTACTCAGCAAACAGGTAATGAGAATAATAAAAATAATCAGGTAGAAGTTATCCTTATCTCACACCAAATTATCCTAATTTATTTACAAGGAAATGTGTGGCAACTAGAAAGGAGATTTTACAATAAGATCTTGGGAGCTAACTGGTTAATGATTAACCAAAAAGTGAGAAAAGTCAGAGTCTATTTCTGCTGTTTGTTGTTTACATTCAGCAAAGATCATCCCTTTAAAGGAGTTTTGGAGAATTATCAACACCTTGTACAATAAATTTGTATCCAAAAGAGGCCATAATGTTTATAAGATTATTATTAGATATTATGTTTATCATATTATATTGAAATAGATATTAATGAAATGGTCAGATTAAAAAAAGAATGCTTGAATGCATATAAAACACTTCAGATGCAGTGATTTCTTGGGAGAAATGCCACTTTAACATCGGTCATGTTTTTTCATATCTAAAAGAGTTACATTCAGTAATATTGTCTCACAAAATTAAAGCATTTAGGACATCATGATTGTCAAAACTACATCACTATCTTCACATGTGAAGATGGAATATCTTATTACCATATGGAAACAGGAGTAAATCTTTGCATTTCATTAATATCTACTACATTATTGATTGAGCAGGAGAGCAGGACATAAAAATATTTGGCTCGAGGTCATGATGAAAGGAATGTGCTGCATTCTGTCTGCACATCATAACCAAGAGCCAAATATTTCCCATTTCAACCTTACTCAGTCAATAGACACATTTTATCACAGGACTGCCCCTCTCTCCCATTCTTTCTTTTTTCCTCTCTTGTGACAGTATAATTTAGCATGCAGCATTTTCAGGCCCTGCTGGCATTATCAAATACAGCTGTCAAATGGGAATTTCTGTTTTTTAATACAAGCACACATGGGGTAATACTGGGTCATATGATAATATAATTTACTTCAGTTTTCACTGACGTTCACTCGTTAAACAGTGAAACATTCATTTGGATTTTTGTTTAAAATCAATTACTATATCAAAGTATGTACCTCTTTTTATTAATTTCCATGCTTATATGGCACTTTTAGTGTAATTCCTCTATATCTTTTTTATATTAGTAAATTTTTCCTTTTTTCAGTATGTTTTGTGTAGTTACAGAGCCTTTAAAACAAAGTGATACAAAGTTTTTCTTAGTACCAGATATGCCATACATCCATGTCTTGTCTCACTTTTCATGCAGTAAATACATGCAAAGAAGCTGAGCTTTCCCATTTTCTTTTGCCAAACAAAATTATCATAAGAGTGTAAAAACTACTCCACAATTCCAAAAAGCCTCAACTATAAATTAAGTTGGAGAACACGCTTACTTTGCATGAAATGAATAAAACACTTTCTTGCTACAGCATTGTCCAGTGCACTGATGAATAAATTAAAATTACTTGTCTTGACAACTTTTTCTCACTTTAAAAATGATTGAAATAATTTAATGACAGACATGGTGCAAGATCAAATATTGAGCACAAAAACTTCACTTACTTTATTCAGAATTATTAACATCAAACTGACATAATCTTAAGAGCTTGTTTATGTGGAAGGGGGGGGGGGACCCCAGGTAGGTGAGGTAACCTGCCTCAGTGGGGAAACCTGACCTGTCTATGTAATCCCTTATTTTATCTTGATCACATTCACATGATAGGTGGATTGCCCATGTCTAGCAGGTAAGGTCAGCCAGGGTTGCAATTTGCCATGTAAATGTCTCCAGGTGGGGAAATCACCTGGCCACATGTCAACAACCTCTAGAAACTTCATCTTAGGATTCCAGGGTTGTAAGATTATATGAAACCCTGAGCTATCTTCCAACTGTGGCAGGCAGGTTACTTCACCTACTTAGTAGGGTCCCCAACCTCTATGTAAACAGGCTCTAATTCTAAAAACAACCCATTAGATAAAGTCTACTCTGACAATCAAGTGTTCTACTCTACTGTTGCTGTTTAAAATTAAAACAATCATCTACTACTTACTTCCTTGGAGAAAAAGTCAAATGGACTTGTCTATAATACTGCCGTTATGTCTGTGCATCTTCTACTGATACAGCATTAAACCTCATTCATCTCGCCATATTGACATAAATTGATCCCAGTTTAAGGGCTCCATAACCAATAAAATATCAAATTCTTCCTACTTATAAATATCACTGTTTGGAACTAAGATTGAAACAGGCAAAACTTTCTGCTTGTCTATGCTGAGTTACAGTTTTTTAAAATATATATTTATATTACAAAGGTTTGTTCAATACTGACCAGCAGTATTAAAACTAATATACAAAAGGTTACTGTTTGTGTAAAGGTTCCACATCAGTGTGTTGGTAAAACAGTCTGGAATGCGGTGTGAATAGCTTTCCTAGACTTTTCACCATTTGTCTTGATCTCATCTATGTTTTCTGACACAACCTGGAGAGATAAGAACATGTGTTTCAGATTTAAAGACAGAAATTAACAGAAAATATATTATTGTTGCAGTAAGACCTTCTTATTGATTATGCAATCAAATGCTACGATAACTGAGCTAATGCCAATCGGCAGATGAGCAAAATAATAAGGTTCATAGGGATCAAGACGTTTGGACTCTCATCAGCAATGTTTGAAGTATCCTGTGTATAAATAAATTTTAAAAAAGGTAAATTTTGAGTGAGAAGGTCACACTTTTTTTTGTCTCATACTTGACTGGAGTAAAGAGATGTTTATCATTCGACCAAAAATCTGGAATTTCTAACAGGAAAGTTAGGGGAAAGGTTAATTTTCCACAAAATACACCTTATCCAAAAAAAGGACTTCCTGCAAACAACTAAGGTTTTCAGAGTTTTCAGTAATTAAACCCTTAACTCCCCAAAGTGATTAACATGAAACTTCTCCCAATAATTTCCATACATTATCCAGCAAACAGGTGATGACAGTACTCAAATTAGAAGTTGTTGTCCTGATCTAACACCAAATTCTCATGACTAATTTACAAGGAAATGTGTAGCAGCTAGAGGGGAGAATTTATGATTAGATCTTGGGAGTTAAAGGGTTAAGGGTAAACTGATGGTACAAAGAATTAAAAAGGTTTAATATCTCTACTTTTTGAAATTCAACTTCCAAGTTCTTCCTCTCTTCCTTATGCTGGTTTTTTAGTTCTTCAAGTTCCCTTTCTTGTCTCTTTGACAACTACAAAGAAAAACAGATTTAGTTATACTGTAAGTTTTAGGTCAAAGCCTTTATACACAAGATATTTACTGTTTAATTTTCCCTTAATTTTTTTTTTGTTTCTTTGTTTCTTTTACAACTGTTTGACATATAACTGCTTATAATACACTAAATGTCTGTCCCTGTAGAAAAAGTTCATTTTGTTCTCCCATGAGTCTCATGAAAAAATGTGAAAGTGTTGTCTGATTGTCTGGGTGAGTGTAGTCCTGAGAAAGATTGTTGTCAGCGGTGGTGACTGACATTTCGACAACCTGAGCAGAAGTCATCATCAGAGTCAAGGATCAGAGTCATCAGTGTCTTGACTCTAATGATGACTCAGGTTGTTGAAACTTCAGTCACTAGTTCCAACAACAGTCCTTCTTGGGACTTATTACACTCACCCAGACAACCAGACTACACTATTAAATGTTACCCCCAGTTTCAAACCATTTACTGCCTGAAAAAATCGTACTGAAAACCCAAACTGGCTGTTTCACTTAGGAGACGATATAAACCCTTTTTTCTCTAAGTGGTAATCTTTAATGAGGATGCCAACGTCACGAAGTGGTTTATAGAAGGGTCCTCAAAAGAATACTAAGTTTAGATTAAGAACAAGTTAAACATACAAAATGCAAAAGATTAAAAAAGTATATACAATCATCAAGCATCAAATATAACTAGTTAAAAATACAAGAATGTAAAAGGTAAAAAGAATATACAAAGGCAAAAAGCAAAGAATTTCGTTAAGAATCAAAGATAACTTTGGACAGGCCAGGTTTAAAAGCAGGCAGCGACTCAGCATTCCTTGATGAGGTGTCTAACCCATTCCATATATCAAGGGCATTGCCAGGGTGGTCCTGGAGTGCCCATGACCCCCCCCCCCCCC